TTGCCATCAGTGTACTTGTGGGAGAACATGTCATAGAACAAGCTATATTTAGTGTTCTAATCATCTTGGTAGTTTCATTTACAGAATTCTTACTTGATAAATTACTATGTAATAGCAAGCTATGTTTATAGACAAGGAAATTAGAAGAAAATGATGAGCCATTTAGGCAAATTCTCAAGAGATTACAGGACTGGCCTTTGGGAAGCAGTACTATCACTGGGGAATGTCTCACAGTAACCCTGGGAGCTTGCCACAGTGTACTGCACTGTCTGTTGTGTGTTGACATGGAGCTTTAGGTTAATGTAGTTAGTCAGGATCCCAGTCAAGGAGGTGGCAAAGCAACCTCTAACATAACCAGTCACTACCACAAGGAAAGAGAGCTGTGAGCTCAGTTCCCACACCTAAGGAATCCATGCACTCTTCTGTTTCTCTGTGCACTCACACTCATACCAAAAACAGAAGTAATAAAAATAATATTTTAAAAATTCTAGGGGCAGGGAATATGGTTCAGGGGTTACAAGAAGTTGCTATCTTGCAAAGGACCTGAGTTTTGTTCCCAGAATCCCTACTGGGTGACTCACAACTTCCTGTAACTTCAACTTCAAGGGATCTTATGCCCTCTTCTGGTTTTTTAAATACTGGAATCATTTCCACCTACCCACACACAGGCACACACACATATACTTTATTAAAAATAAAACAAATCTTCAAAATAACTCTTAAAAAGGAATAAAAACGAAAGTCAGAGAACTAGAAAGTGCTCATGAACAAGATTAATGATCACTATCTTCTGATGCTATTATAAATAGAATTGGTTTCATGAGCTCCCTTTCAGGTTGTTTAGAGTTAGTGTAAAGAAATGCAATTGACGTTTGGATGTTGAATTTGTATCCTGCACTTTGCTTAATTCACTAACTTGTCATTTCTAACATGTGTGTTTGTGTGTTCCATAGAAATTATGTAAGAATTTCATACTCTCTGTGAACAGAGATGATTTATTTCCCTTGCTCCTGTCCAGTGTGGATGTTTGTTCTTTCTTACCTGCGGGAGAGTAGGTGAACAAGCTGGTAAGAGAAGGCACCTGCATTTCACTCCGGCCTCTGCAGGAGCAGCCTTCAGTCTCCTATTAGGGAGCATGGTACTTACTCCAGTGTTTTCATGAATGACTTTAGTATGTGGAGGCAGGCTACTTCTACTGCTAATTGTTGAGTGTTTCTCATAAATGGTGTGGAACCTTGCCAAATAATTTTCTGCATCAATTGAAATTATGTTTCCCCTTCATCCTGTTAATTTTGTACACTGTCCTGATGATTGTCATATGTGGATACATCTTTGCATTCTGGGATAAATCCTACTTGGGTGTAACGAACAATTCTGGAAAATATTCCCAATAAACACTGATGAGACAAACCTCAGCAAGCTCGTAGTAAGCCACACTGCACAGGATGAATATGCACACCGCCATGTCATCTACCCTTGATATTTCACTTTTTAGCTGTCTTCTTTGTAACTTGGAAACTATAACTAAAACCCTCAATAGTGGGATCTGGAGAAACTGCTCAGAGGTTAAGAACACTTGCTGCTTTTCCAGAAAACGTGGGTTCTGTTCCCAGCCCCAGGTGGCAGTTCACAACTGTCCTTACCTCTAGTTCCAGGGTTCCCAGGACATTCATAAACACAGTTACAGTAAATAGTTTTCTAAAAATCTGAGTCCTTAACACTGAAATTTGAATTTACAACAGCCTGTCTTTCAAAATACACAAAAGTTGCACTCCTTCAAGGGTTCTACCCCAAGTCTTTCAATTCTTGAGGGTATAAAATTATTTTTTATTTTAATCTACAGTATAAACTAATTATTCTTTACATTGATTACTTTCTTATGCACATAAAATGTGGATAAAAATCATTAATACTCGTCTCTAAAATATTTTAAAATATTAATCTCAAATCATCTTGAATATAAAAAGTAGAGTTACACAATATAGCTACAATACTAGCTTTTATATGTTTTCTCATGTGTTTATCTTTACTGAGATTTTTATTATTCCTTAACTTGGCTTCAAGGCACTGTCTGGGTTCTTCCAATTCACCCTGCAGGTTCCTTGAATGTTTCATGCAGGCAGATTTCATGGAAATGAGCTTTCTCAGCTTCTATATCTGGGAATATTTTAACTTCTATCAATTTTGAAGGACAGTTTTGTCCCCATGGCTTTTTTATTGACAGTTTTCCCTTCAGTAATTTGAATATACAGACCATATTGTTTTGGGCCAGGAACATTCTGACAGGAAGCTGCTGACACTCGGACTGAGAATGTGCATTTGAAAAGTGTCCCTTCTTTCCTGTTAGTTCAGCTACTCCTCGCCTTTGTCAAGTTTGATTGCCTTCTTCCAACCACTATGTCTTCATCCTGCCTAAGTTCCCTGGATATTTACAGTATGTCTTCTACCATATTTACATAGTTTCAGACCATTACTTTTTCAGATGCTCTTTGCTCCAATCTCTCTTGTCCTTCTAAAACGACTGCTGACCGAATGGTGTCATACTATCTCTCAGACCCTCTTCACCTTTCCTTCATCATTTTTGTTTTTCTGAAGTGGTAACTGCTGCCCCTCCCCTGCCTCTTCTCCAGCCTGCTCTCTCTCTTTCCTTCCCTCTTCTGAAGAGGTAACTACTGCCTCTTTCCCCCTTCTCTCCCTTCCTACCCCCTCCCTCTTTCTCTTCTCCCCACTTCTCCCCTTCCCTTCTTCCCCCCTTTTTTCCCCTCCATAATCCACTAAATAAACTCTGTACTCAAACTCTCTCTGCATGGTCCGTCTGTCTGTCTCTCACTGGCAGTTGTCTCCCACCTGCCAAGGGAACCCGCCGAGGCTTCGGGTGGCCCGCACTGCCCCTCATGAGACCGGCCTTGGTCCCCCACCTGAGAAATGACAGCACTTCTCAGGCCATGCATGCCGTCAGTCTGCACAGTCATTTTCTAACTCTCGTATAGGCAGTTGTTCCCTAGGATCTTAGCATTCTCATCTTTAAACTATATGGCACAAACACACATGTACACACACAGGTCCCCAAAGAGAGAAAGCAAAAAAGTGAAGTTTTCAAGGTGAAGAACAAAGTATCTTAATCTCTCACCACAAGCCACTTCAGCTGAGGAGAAAAAAAACGTGCAAAATGGAAGGAAAAGGGGCAACCTCAATTGCCATCATCAGCATTCTATGCAGCCTTGTGATCATAGGCAACACTGAAGAGTAAATATCCCCAGGCTTGGGGACAGGGGCCTTTTTGGCCAGCTCACCTTGAGAGCTAAGATTCTCTAGGAATTGTATAACAGTTGCCTGATACAGGAATGGTCTGGTAGTTGCTACTTCACTAAATCCTCAAGCTGATTAAAATTAACTCTATACAGCCCAAGCTTTCCCTGGAAGTCACAAACCTTTACTACACTCCAGAGCCCAGATTAGTTACACTGGACAGATCTGCCATTGTGGTTATGGACTAGGCAAAAAAAAACAGAGTGATGTTTCCTAATCCATCATCTTAGGGTCTTTTCCCTGAACTCTTTTTTTGTTTTGTTGTTTGTTTGTTGTTTTGTTTTTTCAAGACAGGGTTTCTCTGTAGCTTTGGAGCCTGTTCTGGAACTAGCTCTTGTAGACCAGGCTGGCCTCGAACTCACAGAGATCCACCTGTCTCTGCCTCCCAAGTGCTGGGATTAAAGGCGTGCATCACCTCCGCATGGCTCTCACTGAACTCTTAAGAGAAGCAAGTGTTCTTTAACATGGGAGGAGTGGATTTTAGGTGTCTGATGAAGACTATAGGAACACACTAATATAAATTACAAGTCTACAGTCTAAACTCAGAACAGTGGCATTTTCCAGTATTCTGGAGATCATATTTTCTCGGGGACTTAATGTTTTATGCTTGTCCTGGAGCACCTATATCTTGAGATGCTAGCTCTACATTGCCTTGAACTCTTTTCAAAGTACACCTCAATGTCTCAAGAAGTGTAATGATTATTGGTAAGGAAAACTTCCACTTGTGTGTAGAGGCTACACAGCAACTGAGTATTTCTGTGGGTTCAGTAATTAAATTAAGTCAGCAGATCCATAAACAAACATGACTGAACTGAAAGGGAGAATTATTTTTCATTATATAAAACAAAAACCATTTTTTTCTCACAAATACATGTAATACTGTCTTTCTAGACAAATTCATTTCTACCTTATGTTATATAGATACTATAAATGTATAGCCCATAGTTAATGGAGATTCTAAAGTATCTGACTATCTGTTGAACCAAACTATAAAATAAAATTTCATCAGCTATAGGCAGAACAATCTACTGCTAGAATCCTTCACCCAGTGTTAAAAAAAAAAAAGTTCAAATGCCTTGTATAATTTACCTCCCTCTTTCCCCTGCTCTAGGAGGAATTTTAAGAAAGTCTGTTGTCTACCATCCAGTATTTTCAGATAAAAGGCTACAGAGTCTGGTATAAGCCCAGATAGCTGAGACGGCTGACACTCACTACTGCTACTCCTTGGCAAAAGGTCAAACTCATCTCTCATCCCTAGCCTGAGAATCCAACCTAAAAATTAATTTTAATATGCAAATTAAACTCTAAAAAGAGTGCAAAGGCACTAAAGAGTTAGTGTAACAAAATGCTCTGAAATTTGAAAAGTTTGTTGTCCTCCGTAATTACTTTCTGTGACCGATGCAGAAACTTGGTCTCAAGAGAATTTGAAATGACGGTCTTAAACCCACTTTAAAGAGCATTCTTCAGTTGACTGTTACTACATTGCCACTGGAAAAGTTTAAAACTCTCACTGCTATTTTATACCCACAATTTCTTTGGAAAAAAAAATCATGTTCCAATGTAAAAGCATACTGTGCATTATTTTGTTTATATAAATCCAAATGTAAATATGTTTTAAAATCTAAGATAAAAATTGACAGTAAGTAAAGGAAATTGCAGCAAGCATAAAGTTTTTATGTTGTCGTACCCACCTTTAACGAGAGACTAAAATGCCCCACAAACGTTGCACTTATCCATGCCGTTGAGTGGGGGTCACCCAGAAATTCTATGTGATACTTGTCAACGTTTCCATCCTGGTCATAGGTCACATATTTCCCTCTGAAAGGATCAGGACAAAGTATTCCTGGCCAACTTTGGAAAAAAAGTTAAAATAAGTTTCTTTTTTTTTTTAAAAAAAAAAAAAGTAAGTCATTGACACATCTCTCATAATCAAATATTAAACTTATTTCTTCAAATTTTAACTACTAACATAAATGTATTCCTACTTACACCTTTCAAAAATAATAAACAAGTAATAAATTGTATCTTTGTAGCAATAAAATATTTTTATGCTGTCACAGACAAGATGAAAAAGAATTCGAAAAGAAATGACAGCCAGAATCCACATGAAGCACTTGAAGGCCTTGAACGCCACTGAGAAGCAGAAAGGGTCAATGATAAGCCAGACTTTGTTGACTCCCTGTGAGAGCCCTTACCCATTGGGAGGAGGAGATGGGGCTGCCCTGGGAGGAAGTAAAGGGGGAGGAGGGGGAAGGAGAACTGTGGTTGTAATGTAAAATAAAAAAACCAAAAAAGTAAATATGAGCTATATGAAAGAAATATAATTTTTAAATAATAAATGACAGAGCTATAAAGCAGTAGCCTAAAGATAAATGATAGGTGATAGATTATAGATAGATGATAGAAACACAGCTATAGGCAAATAGATAACAGATTAATAGGTGACAGGCAGAAAAACAGCTCATAGCTCAAACAGTGATGCCACTGTAAAGTACAGAAAGGACAACTTCAGCTCCACCATTCTACTCTACTCCCTCCCCTCTATCCACTCAACTGACACGTCACTAGTTTGCTAAAAAATTCAGAGCTCTAAGCAAAATTTTCCTTTAAAAAAATCTTTTAAGGTATGTTCAGGAGCTGGAGAGATGGCTCAGTGGTTAAGGGTACTGACTGCTCTTCTAGAAGATCCGGGTTCAAATCCCAGTAAACACACTGTAGCTCACAACTATCTGTTGGAACTCCAGTTCCAGAGAATCTGATGCCCTCTTCTGGCTTCCATGAGCACCAGGCACACAGGTGGTGCAAAGACAAACATCCATACACAAAAAGTAAACCTTTAATGTTCACTGTGACAGAAACCTCTATAGACCTCATTTCTCGCTTTAGACATTCAGATCCCATTTCAATTGCTTTCTATTTTTCTACTTTCTGTTCAAGTTTGATTTCTTTTCATCATTGCTTTCTAATTACAGGTGTGTGTGTGTGTGTGTGTGTGTGTGTGTGTGTGTGTGTGTGTGTGTGTGAAGGTACAAGAGCAGTTTGTAGTCTTAATTGCTAAGCCATCTCTCCAGCCCTGGTTTTCTTCTCTACATTAGCATCCAACAGCTCAGGCCCATGACAACACTGCCAAGCAAAGGCTGCAAATATATCCCATCTGGAGTCCAAACCGGAAACTAGAGAGCAAGCCCTGAAAACTGCTGATGTGAGAAAACCCACATCTCCTCTATTTACTCGATTTATTCAATTCTATATTAAAAAGAAACTGTAACAACCAAGAGACTTACAGGTCACAATCATCTTCAATTTTCCTGATTATGAATATAAATAAAAATAAAGTCTGACAGGGAACGGTCACATGCCTTTAATCTCTGCACTTACAAAGCAGAGGCAGGCGGATCTCTGTGAGCTTGAGGCTAGCCTGGTCTGCCTAGTTCCAAGCCAGCCTGGCAACACAGTGACATGCTATCTTAAACAAACAAGCAAATTTAGCACTAAGAAAACTGGAATTTTCAAGTAATGCATCTGCTCAAAATGTAACAGGAAGTAGGTGTTTGGCTCAGGAAGCCTACGTTTTGCCTATAGATAAAGCATGCTAATTACTGCTATGTGTCCTATTTATCATGTGTATTAAGTCAACATTTTCTTATGCATTTCATATGTTACCTTATATAAATTGACTGTCTTAGAAAACCACACTTCTGAAATTAAAATGATCAATTTGTATTCAAGTAGCAAAATGTAAGTTGTTATTTTGAAGTGCTGTTAGGATCCAATCCATATTTTATCCATAGCAAAATTTTATACACATACACATTTAATTTGTTTCCCACTCTGGCCTTAAATGATCCCCCTGGCTCATCCTCTGGAGTGCTAGGACTACAGGTGTACCAGCATGCCTGTTTCTAATTAAGTTTTAAATATTTTACCAACATTCCATCATCTGGCCTGCCACTCTGGAATTAAAGCAGGAAGGAAAGGCAGAAAAGCAAGTCAGGATCCCATGATAAAGAACCCTGGTAGAGATTTGACAAAAGTTTTCAGCTTAAGATCTAGATTATGTACATCTCACATGGTAACTGGACACTGTATGCCTGCCAACCTCGGTGCTGCCAGCAGCTCTGTCAAGTGGGAGAGTTAACAGCATTCAAGTGAAAAAACCTGTGCCCTCACTCTGCCGTCTACCAGGTGACAAGCCTGCTAGAGATATCTAGTTCTTGCTGTGGTTCCTAATGAGTTATAAAGTTCAAATACATGTGTGATTTATACTTTTTGTTTAAGAAATTAAAAATCTGTCATCATAAGACTGATCTGTGTCCTGAAAAATTTAGATGCTGAAAACCTAGTTTCCAGTATCTCAGAAGGTGACTGTATGCAGAGAAAGGACCTTTGAAAACATGACTAAAAAAGCCGGGCATGGTGCTGTATGTATGGACTGCCAGCACTGCGGAGGTGGAGGCAGGAAGACTGTGGTCCAAGGCCAGCTGAACCACATGGGAGCCCGTCTCAAATCAACAAAAGTAACTTGGTTAAAACTGAGCTCATTAGGACAGGCTCTGTGTCCGAGATTGCCTGCCTCATAGGAAGAGATCAGAACACAGACACACAGAGGGAAGAACATGTGAGCACATGGCAAGAAAGTGGCCATTCTTAAGGAGAGAGCCTTCAAAGAAATTATTCTTGATAACCTTGATCTCAGGACTTGGAGCCTGTGGAAAAGCACATCTGCATTATGTATGTCAGCTAATGTGTATTGTTTTGTTATGGCAACCAGAGGAAGCTAATATGATTATGTATATGTAGAATAACTGGTGCAAGTGAAAAGAATGATTTAGAAATATCTCCCCATGTTTAGCAAGAGGCGCTGTGTGTGCCTTTACAGGTTCATTAGTATGCGAATGTGGGAGACAATTAACTACGGGACCAAAGAAAGAAAAAGATTAAAAAAGCATCTCAAAGTTCTGCATCAGTTTCTCTTTAACATTCTTGAGTCAACTTATCTGAGCAATAGTAACTCTAGATGCTGGCAAGATGGCGGCTCTGACCTTAAGAGCTGCCTATAAAGTCCCCAGTTAGTACTGTGCTCTAAGTTCCTCTGCGGTGGCAGCTGTTACTGTACTTCAAGATCTAGCGTACTGCCTAATTAAGAGCAGATTTCTGACTGTTTCTTGTGGGTTAATTCTATCTCTACATTTTACTATTGTAATTTGTCTTGTATTATTGTTCTATACATTTGTGCCATTGAATAAACAATGCAAGAAGATTTCAGTTCCTTAATTTGAAGTTTAAATTTGTGTTCAACTTAGCTCATAAAAAAGAACATAAATGACACATAGTCAAACGCATGTTGTTCTCTGAAAAAGCAGAGATGCAGCTGTTTTTTAAGCATGTGAACAGAAATCACAAATTAAAGATAATTTAGAGACTGGATTTAAACATATATCATGTAAAGTTTTAAGCTCTTTGCCTCAGTTACTAACTCCTAGTAAAATTTTCTGTTCTTCAAATATATTAATTGAGAAAAGCAAACTCATTTCCTGAAATACAGTTACTAAACTTCAAACTTCCAATGTGGGAATTGCTTTCAAATGCATTTTTACTCTGCTTTCAAGCATTTGCTTTAGAGATGAAAAATGATGGAGAACCTCAAATCCCTTTATGATAATTTCAGTAAATTTCATATTACATATCCCTTAAAAGACTGGGTTTTATATGACCAATTGATGTTCATGTTAATTATAATGTGGGAGGCAATAACAATGTTTGCAATATTGTCATTTTGATCCCCAGAAAAGCCCTCATAACTAAAGGACAGAGATGTCACAGATTTGTTAGGCAGTAAGTGTATGAGTTTGTTAGGACTGTTTTAAGAGAATATCACAGACTTGAAGAAGTACAATACATTTACTCTCTGTAGTTTCTATATGACAGCTATCCAAGACTGAAGCTGGAGCAGTTTGCTTCTTTACTCTCTCTCCCAGGCTGTGTTTTCAGTCCTTCTGTCTTGTAATGTACATATCAAATCCCTGCCTTACAAGAATACCAGCGAAATAGAACTAAGGCATTCCCTAATAGGTCTCATTTGTAATTAATCACTTCTTCAAAGGTCCTACATCCAAATATGGTCACATTCTGAGGTCTTAGGAGTTATGGCAGCTTTCAACATATGAATCTTTAGGGTTCATAATTTGTCATAAAATAGTGAGAAAGCAAGAATCTAAGTCTACATATTGATTTTAAGGTCTATTGCACATATGTACATATCAAAATAGGCCTGTCACAGCCCCTCTTTTTATGGTCAATTCCTATGGTCTTCATAGAGATCAAGATAATACGTCAATATACTTGAGTTTTGTAGTGTAAAAGTTTAGAACAATAGTAAAAGGTTCTGGAAGGGTAGTGTTGGTGGTGAATCCTGCACGGTTTCTTCAGAAATACAGGGCGAGCAAGCACAGCCGCACTACACTTGCCCTACAACTGCCCTGAGGAAGCTGAGTGACGCGCCACTGACATGTGCATAACAGATTAGTGAGACAGTCCTACGGGACACGAAGCACTGGTGTTTGTGAGAGGAAAGAAGGGTGAATGGGAAAATCCCAGGGATCATCTGACAAATCTGAGAGATGAGAACTGGAGAGCCCAGCAGACCGAACTGACAGCAACAGGCTAAACTGGAATGAGGCAACAGCAATTCTGAACGTGCTGGAACACTGAGGAATCCTGGGAACATTAAAATCTAACAGAGATCATTTCCAAGGAAAAAAAAATAACTCTGATTTAAAAACTAACAAACAAACAAACTGCTGGGGAAAAGTAAAGCCAAGAGGACAGGATCACCAGGAGCAAAGGAACTTGTTTGGTTTCTAGATTAGTCTTCCCCTACGGGACTCCAGGGAGCACAGAACTGGGCTAACAGAGAGAAGGGACATTGATAGTTCCCAAAGAGGTGCCAGAACTGCTATAAAGCACACCCAGGACAGAAGGAGCCAGTCCACAGCTTCCCCCTCTGCTCTGAAGAGGCCTACGAGAAGAAATCCATTGCTTCTCCTGTCACACCCTGGAGTCCAGCTACCACTAGAGAAGAGAGCCTTTGTCCCCAAGAGTAGGCAGTTACTAAAAACAAGGAACAGTCACAGGTTAGGGACCCTAGGGATCCCTGCCACAGGTATGAGTGGGAGATGTTCACAGACGTATCCTAGGAGACTGAAGAGGTTGGAACCAAGCAGATGAGAAGTTTGGGAAGCAAGGAGCTGTGACTGTGGAGAGCAGTGTTTGGTGGCCTCTTCCTCTGTGGTGAAGCACAAACACCTCTGCTGGTTGGCACTGCTTGGCCTCCAGGCCTGAAGCTTGCTGCTAGGTGGGAAGCCCTGGTCAGGCAGGACACACAGGAAATCACTTACTTCCCCAGCCTCTGCCATCCCCACAGGATCCCAGAAGAAGCTAGTACTAAGTTAGTATGGTAAAAATAGTATGAGACAAAAATATCAAAAGATGAAAGCTTGCCACAGAGGGATAGTTTGAGGGAGTAAGACTGTACTCAAGATTTCAAGTTGCCTTAACAAAATTAAAGAAAACAGTGTAGATACAATGCACATGTGTGAACTAGAAAACCACTTAAAATGAGTGATTAAAAATTTGAAAAATATTAAAATTAATGAAAACTTTTAAAACTTCAAAAATTATGTCAAATTGGAAGGAATAAAATAACAACTGGTACCTTCAGAAAAAAACACGTAGAGGAGAAATATTTAAATTTTTAAAGGGCTAAAAAGATGAGAACAGTTCAAGAAAAAGAAATACCAAAGATAGAAAAGATTGCCTAAGTGATAATAGAGAGTCCTGAGGTAAAAATCCAGTCATATGACAGGACAGTATTACTGCCTTTAAGTCAAGAAAGTTTAAATAAATTCTAAGTCTTATACACTGAAAATACATAGTATATATTTGGAAATTCTACCCATAATAAAAAAAACTCTGAAATATAAAAAAATCTACGTAAATTTAATAAAAAATATTTAAGCATGTAAGGGATAATTAAGATCCTCAAATGTTTGTCATTTAGAAACACGCTTATAAATAACACATTTCAATCAAGAATTTGCAACTATTTCAAGATGAATAAAATAAAATGTTTATCACAGTTCCTGGAAAAAAAATTATAGCTTTGTTTAAATTAAGATGAAAAAATAAGAGATGAGCTGAATTCCCTAACCCTCACTTTAGAAAGCAGAGTGAATACAACTCAGATGACAGAGTGAACACACTCAGATGACAGACAGTATCAGAGAATGGCAATCCAGGGACTACTGAGATGGTGCAGGAGGTAACGGCCCTTGCCAACAAGCCTAATGACATGAGTTCCAGCCCCAGCACCAACACGGAGGAGGAAGAACTGACTCTGTGGAGGTTATTCCTGTCAAAACTCGGAGGGTAAGCCGAGAGTGAACCCTCATATGCACCATGAACTCTGAAGATAATTAGGATGTGTCTAAGTAGGTTCATTAGCTAGAACAAATCATATGGTGTGGGGTGTCAGCGGGAGAGTGACTGAGTGGACAGAAGGCATGTGGAAACTATACTTACACCCAATTTTTGTGACCTCAAGGCTTCTGTAAATGTGGAAGTCTATTTTGTAAAAATATGAGTCATTCTGGGTGAAAAATTAGAAATAGACAAATCTACTCCAAATGCAAAGCACAGGGATAAGTGTATAGCTCAGCAGTAATGTTAGCCTAGCAAGAGAAATGCTCTTGGTATTTGATCTACTCATAAGCAGCGCACGCGCGCGCACACACACACACACACACACACACACACACACACACACTCATGCACACAGACCCACAAACACACATGAAAATAAGTAAAGGTAATAAAAATTAAAGAAATCAGTAATTAAGTAATGATAATTAATAAGTAATAAACAAAAGTAAATCCCTTACTTACCTTGGCCAGTTCTGCAATTTCACCAAAACCAGGCTTCCCAGAGGAAGCTGTGAATAGACAATCTTATACCCGCTTTCAAGGAACCGAGACTCTGCGGGGAAATCCTCCTCAGAGACTGAGCAGCTGTTGTAGCTGGCATCAGCGTTCATGAAGCAGTACCAGGGCTCGCTGCGCTCCACCCTGGCCGCAGCCTCAGGGGACAGCAGCCTCCACTTCAGGCAGCTTTCATTCTCACACTGGACCCACACTCTGTTCACAAACTCGCTGCTCTCCACAGCCAGGTCCATTGAGCTGCTACTGATCACTCTGCTAGCTTGTTCTTTGTTCTGTTTTGCTCTGTTTATTTTTTGTTTGTTTTTCCTCTGAAGTGAATTTAATCTGGAAAATAAAAAATATACAGATTCAAGAGTATGAGATATAATTTAAATCACAAGAAACAGTTCTTTCCTATTTTCTGCCCACTCCTGTGCACCTGGTACGGAAGACATGCAGGTGGTGCATTATATTCTGCTGACCCACGGCAAAAACACAGCCGACATGTAAATTACCCTCACAACAAGTACTTTCTGAAATTAAAAACAGGACAAATCTACTATAAGATCAGAGTCTAGTTCAGCAATGTCTATTACTGACATTCACTATGCACAAGGTATTGCTTTCCTTTTTGAGACAATCCTATGCTGTAGCCCAGGCTGATCTCAAACTCTCCACCCTCTTGCCCAAGCTTCCTAGGTGCTAGGATGAGCATAACACACACAAAGTTACCAGCTGTCAGGCCTCAAGTGCTTTATGCACACAGCTTGAATCATACCCTTTTTGCCAAGGAAAATGAAGCAAAAAAAAAAAAGCAAGCATGTTTAAGCTCCAGGCACAGTACCCATAGAGCTGAGGTTTAAACACAGGCAACTGGGCTCTTAACTCTGTGGTCTTGTCCTTAGCTGCACTGCTCTAGAGAATACAGAGAGCATCATGCATCGCCCTGTTCTTTTTCTAAAAATCAAGAAACCCAAATGCAGCAAATGCTTCACTTTATGAGAACTGTAATGATTTACAAGTTACATGTGCACCCTTGATGTGGGAGTCTCCTCTGTGTACTGTGATTACCATTAATGAATAAAGAAACTGCCTTGGCCTATTGATAGAGCAGAACTTAGGTAGGTGGTGAAAATGGAACTGAATTCTGGTAGAAAGAAGGCAGAGTCAGGGAGATGCCAGGGATCCATGCTGGAGATAGTCATGCTGAAACTTTGCTGGTAGGCCATGACCTCATGGTGATATACAGATTAATAGAAATGGGTTAAATTAAGATGTCGGAGTTAGCCAATAAGAAGCAAGAGCTAATGGGGCAAGCAGTGATTTAAATAACATGGTTTCTGCGTGATTATTTAGGTTCTGGGCAGCTGGGACAAACAAGCAGTCTCCTCCTACACACCCACTCCTTAGAAAGTTCTGCCCCTTATCTCACTAAAAAGGCATCTTCTCAGAGCTTTGTTATGAGGAGTCGACACATATGAATAGGGAAGTGTGTTAAAACTCTCCCATTCAGCATCAGCAACAACAATGACATACATACTAATGATGTAACTACAGATTAAGTACTGACAATGCATTTTCAAATAGCATATTTTTAATAAAAAAAAAGGCATGTGGGAGCTGTGCAAGAATCTCTGTGATATGTTGTCTTGGAGTTCTTTGGGGAAATATCCAGGAGTGGTACAACTAGATCACACGGAAGACGACTTTTTTTTTTTTTTTTTTTAGAACCTCTACACCAATTTCTATAGAGTCTGCAGTCTCCCATATGCAGTGGAAGAAAGATTCACTTTGGTCCACATCCTCACCAGAATTTTTTATTTTCTTACTTACTGATATTCTGGCTGGTGTGAGATCGAATCTCAGTACAATTTTAATTTGCATTTCTATGATAAAGAGGTTGAACTTTTTACATGTGCTTATTGAACAACTTTATGTTTCATTATTTGAGTACTACCTGTCTTTTAGCCATTTATTGACTTGTTTGAATTCTTTGCTTTTTTAGTTATTTGTACATTCTAGATATTAATCATATTACATGTATAGTCAGCACAGAATTTCTCCCATTCTGCAGGGTATTGGTAAACTCTATTAATTGTTTCTATATAGATCTGCGGAAGCTCTTTGGTTATATGAGGTTTCATTTGTCCACTGCTGACATTATATCCTAAGTTAGTGGCTACCTATTCAGGAAGTTACTGCCATTGCCTATGTCTTGAATAATCTCTTTGGTTTTTTCTTCTAATGGTTTCAGAGTTTCAGGTCTTATATTGAGATCTTACATCCATTTGAAATCAAATTTTTTGTACAAGGTACCAAACATGGATCTAGTTTCATCCTTCTACATGAGAATATTTACTTTTTCCACAACCATTTGCTAAAGATGCTGCCTTTTGTCCAGTGCATATTTTCTGGTATCACTTTGGTGTCAAAAAACTCAAGTAACTGCAGATACATAGACTTGTATCCAGATCACCTATTTTACTGATTGACTTATCTGTCTTGTGTCTACACTGGAATGCTTTTATTAATATGGCTCTGTAATATAACTTGAAATTGGTTGCAGTGATATCTCCTGCACCAGTCTTTTCTGTTCAAAATTCCTTACAGCATCTGGGGTCCTTTGTGAATTAAGGTTTTATTTTCTATTGCTGTAAAGAATGGCACTGAGATTTGGATGGGGATAATGTGTGTCACTTTTGGTAAGATAGCATTTTCGCAATATGAATTCTTCCGATTCCAGAGCATGTGGTCTTTTCAATCTAGTATCTACCTCAGTTACCTTCCTCAGTGTTCCAGGTTTTTACTGTAGAGGTTTTTCAATTCTTTGATTAGGTTTATTCACAGAATTTTTTTTTCTTGAGGTAAAAATGGAGTAACATGTTTATTTCCCCAGTTTCTTTCTCAGAACGTTGGTTATTGCCATCCAAATTCTAAACTCCCACCTTCCCCCATCAGTGTCGATCCAGCAGCTATCGCTGTCCCGCCCAGGCCCATCCCATAGCTTGGCTATTGTGACGAGTAACATGACAGATACGTGTATGCAGGAATATCTATAGAAACTTGGCTATATTCTTTTGGGTGCACATTCAAAATTGAACAATTAGATCAAATTACAGGCTTGTCCCCAGTTTGTGGAGGAACCGGCACAATGACTTGTACGCTCTGTTAGTCTACAGTGCCACTATGAGGGCATAGTGTTCCTTTCCCTGGCTTCTTCACCAGCACACGCTGTCTGCTTTTCATGACAATAGTCACTCTGATCAGGTGAGATGAACTCTCAATGAACTTTTACTCTGTATCTGCCTGAGGCAATTTAAATTCCTGTTCTTCTTTCCTGAGCTGTTGGGAGTCTTATTCAGAAAGTCTTATGCCTAGATACACCGGTCCCTCTGCTCTCCTTCAGTTTCAAAGTTTCAGGTCTTACATTTAAGTCATTGTTCAATTTCGAATTGATTATTGTGCAGGTGAGACATGGCAATCTATTTATATCTTTTACCCACGGATTTCCAATTTTCCCAGCACCAGTACTGAGTCTGTTTCTTTTCCAACCTAGGTTTTCAGTCTCTTAATAGAAGATTAGATGGAGGTGGTTGGATAGGTTTGTTTCTGGGTCCTGTTTTACTGAGCCATGGGCTTGGTTTAATTGTCAATCTCATACTGTTTCTATTATTATTTCATTGTATTAAAATTTGGTATCAGGTATTACGATGCCTCAAAGGCAGGTTTAACATTTAGGGTCTTTTGCTTTTCTATATTAAGTCTTTCCTACTTCTGTGAAGAATGTCATGAGAGTTTTAAAGGCAGCTATATTGAATCTGTAGAGCACTTTTAATAATATGGCCATTTTCTCAAGACTAACTCTGCTAATCCATTAACATGGGATGTCTTTTCCATCTTCCACTATTTTCTATTTATTTCTTCATAAATTTACTGTTTACTATTTATTTATTTATTATGGTTACAGCTAATGAGGTTGGGTTTTTTTCCAGAAAAACAAATATACATAGGAAAGTTCTTGATTTTGTGTGGTGAGTTTATAACCTGTTACACTGATGAAAATGTATATTGGCTCTACAAATTTTCTTGTAATGTTTTAAGGTCTTTTATGGTCTTTCATACATGAGATCAGATTGTCTGCAAATATAACTTGACTTCTTTCCTTTTATATCCCTCTTGTTTTCTCCCTTGTGATATTGCTATGGCTAAGATTTCAAACATTATATTCAGTAAGAATGGATAGTTTTTGTTCTATTCCTTATTTTAAGGGAAATTTTTTCAGTTTATTTGCATTCAGTATAATGTTGGTTATATATTTGTTGTAAATAATTTTTGTTATATTTAGGTATAATCCTACTATTCCTATTAATCATTTCTTCAGGGATGTTTTCTTTATCAGAAACAGATGTTGAATTTTGTTGAAGACTTTTTGCTGCATTTATTGAAATGAAATACGTGGTTTCTATTCTATTAATGTGCACTACTGTGTTTACTAATTTGCATTCTTACATTTCTGGCATTAAACCAAATTTAGCATGAAGTATTTGTAAATATGTCATTGAATTTAGCTTGTAAACATTTTGAGGATTTTTGTTCTTTATGTCTATCAAGAATAATTATCTGTACTCTTCTAATTATCCGGTATCTTTTATCTTTGTTGAATAAATATAAAGGCATTCCTTCATTTGCTGTTTAAGGAACACATTGGGGAGCACTAGTGTTATTTCTTTTTTTATTGATTTTTATTGAGCTCTACATTTTTCTCTGTTCCCCTCCCTGCCTCTTCCCTCCCCACTTCAACCTTCACCCAAGGTCCTCATATTCCCAATTTACTCAGGAGATCTTGCTTTTTTTCTACTTTCCATGTAGATTAGATCTATGTAAGTCTCTCTTAGTGTCCTCATTGTTGTCTAAGTTCTCTGGGATTGTGGTCTGTAGGCTGGTTTTCTTTGCTTTATGTTTAAAAACCACCTATGAGTGAGTACATGTGATAATTGTCTTTCTGTGTCTGAATTACCTCACTCAAAATAATGTTTTCTAGCTACAACCACTTTCTTGCAAAATTCAAGATGTTGTTATTTTTTTCTGCTGTGTAGTAATCCATTGTGTAAATGTACCACATTTTCCTTATCCATTCTTCGGTCAAGGGGCATTTAGGTTGTTTCCAGGTTCTGGCTATGACAAACAAAAGCATTCAACAATGACTCAACCCAGGGCGGGGCTAGCCTTTGTTGGGACAGCCTTATTGTTTCATGGCTCCTGTTTGTATCTATCTGGGTTTTCATATATTCTTGGTTAAATTTTGGCTTAAGTTTCACGTGTCTAGAATTTTATTCATTTCTTCT